AATGAAACTATTAATCTAAAAACTTTTTTCATGAACATTTACAACCCATACCTACCTCTACCCAAATTTACAGACCACCAGTGACCTGTTTTCTGACTCGATACCATACTTTAGATTTCCTAGGATTATATATAAATGGAATTTATTGACTTTTGTTTAGCTACTTACATTCAACATAATGACTTTGAATTTTACTCATATTTTGTGTATGTCAATAGTTGTTCTTTCTTAATGTTAAATATATTCCATTACGAAAGGGCTTCTAAATATTCATGGAGAATTGAATTAAAAGATAATGGAATTTTTACATAAAGTTTTTTTAAAAACCCCTTTATATAAAATATACTGTATTTTACTTTTGTTTTTGTTTAAAAGTTAGTTGTTGTTGTCAGGTGCCATCGAGTCGGAACCGACTCATAGCGACCCCATGCACAGCAGTTACATATGAACTGCTATTGTTGTTGTTTGTTGTTAAGTGAAGTTGAGTCAGTTCCAACTCTTAGTGATCCTCTAAAAGGTTTCCAAGGAGTGACTGGTCGGTTTGAACTGCCATCTAAGCCATCTTTACCTTGTGTATTTCTCCACTTATTTCTCCATATCCCACTAAATACCCAGATCTTTTCATACAGACACTAGCAAGTCTATGCCTATAAAGTGTAAAAGAAATCACCTGAGTCAATGGCAAAATCCCCAGAACCCACCTCTAATATGAGAAGATCCTGTGTAGACCAAGCAATATGCATCTTCACATTCACCTCAGCAACCTCAGTGAATGTAGTCCATAAACCACCACTAGCATAAACTATGGAAATCTCATCCCTGTCCTTTATCACCATCACCACCACCACCTTACCAAAGCACAAAGAGTGCCTGGAACATAGTATGTTCTCAGTGCAAAATGATTAAATGAATGAATGCATGCATAAATGAATGGCTTCATTGGTAAATGTATTTTAAGAGAATAATCTAGCAAGTAGAATTATTGTCACCTTAAAATGAAGGCAAAACTTAAACACATAAAAAAGAAGGAACATTACTGAAAAAAAAAAAAAAAAAAAAAACACTATCTGGTTTATTCAGCTAACATACCTAAAGGAATAGGAGAAAAATATATGAAATCTGTCAAGGATGTCTCTTATTTGGCCTCTTAAAGCCATTCATCTAGATTAGAGGTGGGTAACTTTTCTTCTTCCAAGAGCTATTTGGATATTGGTAACATTATTCATGGGCAATACAAAACTATCAACTTAAAAACTAGCCTGTTATAGCAATGCCGGAGATGGAGGCAGAGAGGATGGCATGGAGAGATGGAGTGGCTGGGGACTCTAGACTCATGGAGGAGGCTTTGTGTTGGCGTCCATGGGCAGGCTTGTAGAGTATGCCCTTTGGTTATTTGAATGATTATATATTCCTGAGTGTTTCAGTGTACATCCAAAAAAAGAAAAAAACAGAGGAAATAGAAGCAAATATTGTTGAATGATAATTCATGGAGGGGATTGTAATCATTGCAATGAAATGAAATACAATAAGGTAAATGTAAAGCTGATGTTCTGCCATGTAAATTATCACTCAATTCACAATAAAGACTTAAAATATATATATAGCCTGCTACGTTTGATGAAGTATTTAAGTAACTCACCCCTAATGTAATGACTGGAACTGGTTGCTTTGGAAGGGCCAGATCAAATTATTTCACAGACCTTATGAAATCTTTGAGCTGGACGTTCCCTACCCCTGACCTAGATCCACAGTCCATAAAGCTAATAATTGAAGGAATTACAACTCATTCCTTCAATCAGCAAATGTAATCTTGAACTTAAATAAACACCCCTTGAATGTAATCATACTATTCAAAGCTATCTATCTTCTACACTGATCAAGTAAGCTAGATAATTCATTGATCCACTGCTTTTTTGGGGAACTGAATATATGCATAATAAATCAATACATTTCTAATGCCTAGATTCCAAAGAAGGATCTCTCTCCAAGGTCTTTTTCTCTTGGGATGCCCAGCTATATAAGACCCAGGCATTTTACTGGAGCATCTGACATCAGATACACAAAGCTGTAAAGATTAGGGTTTTCCAAGCAACTCCAGGCCAACTACAAGACAAAACTGTTTCATCTTTCAAGGTTCATGGCCACTGGACTTTCCACAATCAGACCTGGTGACTGATGGTTTTCAAAATTTGGACTGTTTTTCTCTTCTTTAGATTTTGATGGATTCAGGAGAAAGTAACTTGGGATTGTGTCAGAACTCTACCTGTGAATGTAAGTCCCTCCTTTATATTATAGCTGTAGAAACCTCTTTTAGTACAATCATCTGTCAGTTCACTCTATAAACAAATCTTGTATCACAGAAAGATTCAGAAGGTCCAAATGTACATCAAGATCCAGGGCAAAACACAGGAACAGAAGCCATGTAACGAGGACAGTGGCCCATTCAGATGTGGTTTTCTGGATCTGGAAGAAAGTAAAGCAAGGAAAAGGTTAGAGATTTACATCTAGAAGAGAATAATAGATAGTGTAGATCAACAAAATCACAATAAACTGTACTTAAATTAGGAAATAGGATCAAGTTTTAGGAATAACAAGGTAGATACTTATTTTAGCAGAAGAAAAAACATGGGTAATAGATTAAAGGTAGAAGAAGAAGAGATAGTTGTAAACAGAAGGGAGAAACAAAATCTGCCTCAGTATCACAGAGTAGAGAAAGGTTTGATCTATAGCCTACCTTACCAGGTAGGTGGAGAAACAAACAGCAAATACAAGTCAAAACTCTAAAACTAGGATCCAGGTCATTCAGAAGACAGCCTTGAATGGAGAAGGTTAGAATATCTGGGACAGGGTCTCATCTCTACTGCTAAATGGTTAGGCCACCCAGTTCTTTAAATCTACTTCTATGGGCCCCAGTTTCCTCATTTGTAACATGAGGAAAATGAACTACACACTAACAGTTAACATTTACTGAATGCACACAGTGAGTCAACAATTGTCTTCTGAGCATGTGGTACTCACAAAACTCTATGATTATGATATTAATATTGCCATTTCAGAGATGAGAAACCAAGGCACAGAGAAATGATTTCTCCAGTCAAAGAGTAGCAAGGTCATGCCTCCAGCATAAGTTGTCTGGCTCCAGAGACTGCATCTTTCCCAATCTCACTGTGATCCCAGCAAATGATCCCAAAACTAACTGACAGAAGTAAATAAAAAACAGCTGTCAACTTCATTTAGAGTTACTTAAGGAAGCATTTCCGGGAGCTCTGGTAGTATAGTGGTTATGAATCAATCTGCTAATGTCACTGTCAGCAGTTCGAAACAACCAGCTGTTCTGCGGGAGAAAGATGAGGCTTTCTGCTCCTGTAAAGATTTACAACCTTGGAAACCCTATGCAGGGTCACTATGAGTCGGGATCAACTCCATGGCACATAACAACAACAAGGAAGCATTTCAGATAAATGTATACCTGGGGTTTTGTAGGAGAGATAGATATTAGCTAATAGTAAGGAATAAAGAACAGCAAACAAAGGAAATTCAAAGATATGTATAGAGACAGAGATTGGAATGAGTTATGTATAATCACAGGGAATGAGTCAGTTTGCCTACAGCTGTGAAGTGGAGGTATATCTTATAATACCAGTGATGATACCAGTGATATACCTAGTATGATATACCTAATATGATATAATCTATATAATCTAGTGATATACCTAAAATGATATAATCTAATTCCCAGTAACACCTAAGATAGTAATTAAGAAACAATTCCAGAAATGATGCCATGAGAAACAATTGAAGAGACTGAGGATGATAGCCAAGAGGAAAATAAGACCCTTAAAGGGACATGGTTGTTTAATTTAAATAACTAAAAGGCCGTCATCTATAAAAATAAATTAAACTTCTTGTGAGTAACTACAGAGGACAAGCACAAGACAACGGGTATAGCTGTATCAAGGAAACATAGTTGAGCTAGGCATAAGAAACTATTTCTCTTAAGAACAAGCTGATTTATTGACTATAGAGATTGTATTATACTTGTCCAAATTGTTGTGAAGAAGTTCACAGAACTTGGTGCAAACTAGGATAGAAGATTCCTAGCTATTCTTCTTCAATACAAAGATTTTTTAATTCTCTAAAGTTGGTATGAAAATTTTAGTCATCTCCAAATCAAAGTAAAGCTCTACCTACAGATAACAGTGAGAGTTTTTCTGAGATCAGTTGGGAGCAACAGGTATTGAGGCAGAGAAGAGAAAGTGGAAGTGTCAGGCCCAGCTTCACCTTATTTGGAGGGGAAATCTCAGGCCCAGCTTTACTTGAGCTTTTATTGAGTTCTTGGTCCCAGAAATCTATGCATTCGTAATAAAAGAAACACCAATATTTGGGATCATTGTATGCCTATTCCAAAGGCTTCATGATCAATCACAGGAAAATACAATCTGAATGCTTTAAAATGAAATTATTAACATCTGAACAAGTAACATTGGAGTCAGAGATGTGAGGGAATATATAAACAGTTTTTTTCATTTATTTGTGTTCTTCTTTTTTCTCTGAATCAGATTTTCATATCATGACTATAAATATAAGTGTTTTATACAGGCTGTCCCTCTCATATGGGCTAAGCAAATAGTTTCATCTTTTGGGGCCTCAATATTTTCCTGTGTAAAATGATAGGATTTGATGATATGAGCTTTAATCACTTCTTTATTTGATACACTACGAATATTCTATGCACGTATGAATACAAAGAGCAGAAACAACTTACAAAAATAAAGAATTTTAAAACTTTTCTTTGAATTTGGGATTTATTTATGAGACTGCTCCTTATCCTTCCTTCTCCCAGCCCCTAATCAGTCTGCTTTGATTTTGTGTGATTCATGTTTCCAAACTAGTATTATCATCTTTGTAGAAGATATACCAGTGGGGTTTATATGAGGTCATTTCAGTATTTACTTCCTGCTCTCAATTTCAGGTTGTCTGAATCAGATTCTCACTGACCAATGAAGAAACAGAACCAAAGTATAATCACCGAGTTCATCCTTATAGGATTCTCAACCCTGGGGGATCTACAGATCCTTCTTTTCTTTATCTTCCTGCTGGTCTACCTGACCACTTTGATGGCCAATACCACCATCATGACTGTCATTCGTCTAGACCGGACATTGCACACCCCCATGTACTTCTTCCTCTTTGTTCTTTCCTGTTCTGAAACCTGCTATACCTTAGTCATTGTACCCAAAATGCTGACCAACCTGCTTTCCACAAATCCAGCTATTTCTTTTTACGGGTGTGCTACCCAGCTGTATTTTTTTGTGGGTTTGGCTTGTACCAACTGTTTTCTCATTGCGGTGATGGGCTATGATCGGTATGTTGCCATCTGCAACCCTCTCAACTACACTCTCATTGTCAGCAGAGCCACCTGCGTGCAGTTGGTTCTAGCCTCAAGTATCTGTGGTTTCCTGATCTCTGTGGTTGTCAATGTCCTGGTGTTCAGTGTGCCCTTCTGTGCCTCTAATAGGGTCAACCACTTTTTTTGTGACATCTCCCCTGTCATCAAATTGGGCTGTACAGATACCAATCTGAAGGAGATGGTCATCTTCTTCCTCAGCATTCTGGTTCTACTGGTTCCCTTTGTGCTCATATTCATCTCCTATATCTTCATAGTTTCCACCATACTCAAGATATCCTCAGTGGAGGGGCAAAGGAAGGCTTTTGCCACCTGTGCCTCCCACCTCACAGTGGTCATTGTCCACTATGGTTGTGCCTCCTTTATCTACTTACGGCCCACATCCCTGTACTCCTCAGACAAGGATCGGCTGGTAGCAGTGACCTACACTGTAATTACCCCACTTCTCAATCCCCTTGTTTACACACTGAGAAATAAAGAAGTAAAGACAGCTCTGAGGAAGGTCCTAAATAGATACCCATTTCCCAAAACTGTGTAAGTCAATAACTCAGGAAAGCTATATTCATAAAAGTATATTGAAGGAACTGTAATTATTGAAATTAAACAAAGTGTATGACTTGTTGAATATAAAACTGATGGTCTGCTCTGTTAACCAGCACTCAGTTAACAATAAAAAGTTTAAAAAAAATAAATGTATTGGATAGAACTACAATTCTATAATCGATCTGATATTTTCTCCTAAGTGTCCTCGAAGGGGGAAAAAAAGGAATAAGAACTTCAAGTAGCCTTGATTGTTTTTATTGGAAAGTTCTTCCTGAAGTTTAGCCTTTTATCCAATGCAAAACCAAAAAAAAAAAAAAAAAAAAACAAAAAAAGAAATCTATTGCCATCAAGTTCAGGGTGGAATTGCTCCTTAAGGTTTCCAGACTGTAAATCTTTATGGTAGTAGACAGCCTTAGTTTTTCTCCTATGGAGTAGCTAGTGTGTATGAACCATCAACCATAATATTTAAGCATTAGCAGCCCAATGCTTAACACACAGTGCCACCAGGACACCTTATCCACTGTATGTTGTTGTTGTTGTTAAATGCCACCAAGTTGATTCCGACCCATAATGACCCTGTATAGGGTTTGCAAGGAGCAGCTGGTGAGCTTGAACCACCAACCTTGCAGTTCAAATAACTTTGCAGTCTGATGCATTAGCCCACAGTGCCACACCAGGACTCCATTCATGGTACAAGTTATCCCAGTTAGTCCCCAGAAAGTCGTGTTAATATGGATATATTGAAGGATCAAGCCATTGCTATTTTCATGTGCTATGAAAGTCCGTTTTCTCAGATGACCATATCAAGTAAGTACTATATTGTCTTGTTGTGTTATTCCCATCTGGAAATTCCCCGTTCTACATTGAAGGAAACAAGGGAGAATGTTGTTGTAAGTCTCTGCGTGGGTTTAGATATTTTTGAGGTTTAAAAAGAAATATTTTCAGTAAATTGATTATTACTGGTAGATAAATTTGTTGTTGTTGTTAGGTGCCATCGAGTCGGTACCAACTCATAGCAACTCTATGTACAATGGAACGAAACACTGCCCTGTCCTGGGCCAACCTCACAATTATTGTCACATTTGAGCCCATTGATGCTGCCACTTTCCCAATCCATCTCACTGGGGGTCTTCCTCTTTTTCTCTAACCCTCCACCTTACCAAATGTGGTGCCCTTCTCGAGCAACAATATGTTCAAAGTATGAGAGACAGAGTTTGGTCATCCTGGCTTCCAAGGATCACTCTGGCTGCAATAAATAGGGGGAGATTAAAGTTTTCAGACACTGGTAGTGGAATAGAAAACACAAACTTGGGAGTAACAAAGATCCAAATTTGACCTATGATTCAGATAATTTTCCACTTAAGTACCTTAGGCCAGGTTTGAACTCTTTCATTACCAGCTTTTCCCTGTTTAATTAGGAAAGTACAATACCTGTCCCAGTTGGCCATTGTAATAATTAGATTAATTAATCTATGCAAAGCAATTCAGTACTTACATGATTTTGTTGTTGTTGTTAAGTCCTGTTGAGTCAGTTCCGACCTATAGCCACCTGTATGTGGTTTCTGAGGAGTGACTGGTGAGCTTGAGTCACCAATCTTATGGTTCAAACTGACTGCAGTCCAGAGTATTAAACCACAGCCCCATACCAGGCCTCCACTAATCTAATAGGAAGCATTAAAATATTAGTTTTCATTCATATCCCTTTTATTTTCCTTCTTTTGTAAACTAGGATTCAACTTGATATTACACACAGTGTAAAAGTATGTTCACCATTAAAGAAGCCTGAGTTCTGTTTACTTATCAGCTACTATGTGCAAAGCCTTAAACTAAGTACTATAAAGTGCGCAGTTCTCTCTTTCTGCCATAGCTCACTATTGTTGTTGTTGTTAAGGACCGTTCAGTCAGTTCCAACCCTGGATAGGGTTTCTGAGGAGTGATCAGTGAGTGATCAGGAGTGATCAGTGTAAAAGTATGTTCACCATTAAAGAACCCTGAGTTCTGTTTACTTATCAGCTACTATGTGCAAAGCCTTAAACTAAGTACTATAAAGTGCGCAGTTCTCTCTTTCTGCCATAGCTCACTATTGTTGTTGTTGTTAAGGACCGTTCAGTCAGTTCAAACCCTGGATAGGGTTTCTGAGGAGTGATCAGTGAGCTTGAACTGCCGACCTTGCAGTCCAGAGCATTAATCCACAACCCCACACCAGACCTCCTCACTAGATCTTACTTTAAGAAATGATAGTGTTTCAGTCACCATTATAACTACAGCGAATATTTTTGACTGAATTTACTGTGGCATTATTACAGACACATTTCAATGAAAGAACTGATTATGTAATATCAGTTAATACATTTTCATTTACCCAACTTTTCACATTAGCAACATGTAACTTAAGAGATCTTGCTTCAGTGCCATACAACTTAAATTTAGAAATAAATTCCATTATTTACTTGTTGAGTGTGCATGAACAAATAAACTGTGCAAATTGACAAAATTTGAAAGTAATGCTTATCCCAAGGTTTGAAAGAGGAAATGCCTTAGAATGTCTAGCATACTGTTTTAAGAAATACATTTTATAAATTTTAAGAATTAACATTATTGTAATTATATGTAACAGCTTTATGTGGTAAAGTGAAAAAGGGAAGATTAAAATGAAGACTATAAGGGGGAAAAAAGAGAAAGAAAAGCTAGTATTGGAAGAACAGAGAAAAACCAGAAAAGTAAAACAACAGGAGAGTGATAACAAACTTAGTTGAATTTACATTATGCTAACAGTGATTTCTTTTTTAATGTCTGAACTTCTGATATTTTTCCATGCTGTATCAAGTGGTTTGGCGGTAAGTATCTCCCCAATAAGTTTAAGTTGTTAGTATATCCTTAGTTCATCATAATACAATGTTCGAAACACTGTTAGAACATTCCTTTGATGATATTAATAAGTGAAGGAGAGCATGCAAGTACATTTCTGACATTTTCCCACTGATTTAGGGATTTGAGCTTTATTTATTGAGAGAAAGTTGACACTACCCACTTCTAAGAGGTGAATGAGAGTTTGGGAGATTTCTTCTGCTTTAGAAAATAATGCAAATTAACTTTCATAGTGATTCTCTGTGCTACAGAATTCTCTGAACACAATTTTTTCTACCTGTCAAACACATGCACAAACTCCCATTTGTAAATTCTACTTTCCTCTGATTTGCACAAGGTTTAAATACTTTTCTGTCTAGCTGTTACATATTTGTGAGTATTCACACACTTGTCTTGTACCTTGGATCGCTAGAATACTTCCTGCTCATCTCAGAAACTGATGCAGACTGGCATTGAATTGACATTTTGAATGACCATAATGGCAATCATGGTTTCAATAATGAAGAACCATAGGTTTTCAAAATCTTTGTTAAACTAATAAATTATAATAAAACTTGGGTTATGCAAGGTCTTCTAATTTATCAGCAGATAGAAATGATCACAAAATTTAAGGGATTATTTCCTGGATTTGCAGTAGTCCCTTTAATACTGATCAAAGTTTATTTTATATACTCAATGTAGGATATGTGTTCTACTGTCATTCATTTATATAATAAGTAGACAACTGGCATCTATTACTCCTTAAACAGAGTGATAGTAGTTAAAGCAGATAGGTAAAAATCATTGCAGACAGAGACCATTACAATACAATGTGATGAATGATTTATTGACCTGCAAGGGCTGTACTGGGTCGCTATGGGTCGGAACCGACTCGATGGCACTTAACAACAACAACAACAACAAGGGCTGTACACAGTGTGAATAACTAAATTCAATCTTAGAGTAAATAACATTTAAGTTGGAACCTGAAAATAAGTAGCAAATAAAAATTTAACAAGTGTTAAAAGAATGTTTCAGGCAGGTGTACAGGTTCAGAGAAAAAGTGCATGGCTCAGTGAATAAATTTAAACATCCCATGTGGCTGCAACACAAACATCGAGGGACAGAGTTGATGAAGATTAGGCAGTAAAGATAAGTTCATGAGAAAAGGTTATGCAGATTTAATCCAATAATATGAACAAGCAGGGTTTCTCTAAAATGTTCAAGAGTGGGTCCATATTTTTTACACTTCAAAATTTCCACACTAATGGCAAAAAGGAAAAGTATATATGTATTATATAGTCCTGGTGTGGCACCGTAGGATAAGCACTGAACCTCAAGGTCGTTTGAAATTCAAGGTCAGCTGTTCAACCTCAGCAGCTACTCCTCCTCGGAAACCCTATATACAATCTCTGTGCATTGGAACCAACTCATGGCACTTAACAACAACAGCATCCTTATTAACCTTTCTAATTATCTTGATATAAAGAAACTTGTTAAAACATTCAACATGCAGTTATAGTTTTCTGGTGTGGTGCTGTTGAATAAGCACTGGACTGTTAACGACAAGCTCAGTGGTTCAAACCCACCAGTCACTCCTAGGAAACTCCATACAGGGTTGCTATAAGTAGGAACCTACTCCGCAACTATTAATAACAAAAACAGCATCAAACTAAAAATAGTAGGAAATGCCTTAAACGAAATCTTTCTTAATCTTAATGATGAAATATGAGGAATATTCCCCTTGAGATCAGGAATGTAACAATAATGCTCACTAAATCCAGTTCTAGTCAATGTTGTGCTACAAGTCCTTGTTGGGTCAATAAAGTAAGGTAAACAAATAAAATAATGGTGATTCAAAGGGAAGAAATTAAATTCTGGTCATTGACAATACTATTAGGAACAGAAATTACTAAAGAACATATAGATAAAATATATAAATTAATAAAAAGTATTTACATTATAATCTGATGTCAATAATACAAATATCCATTACATTTCTGTATATCAGCAGAAAAAAGGGAATTCCTACACCTAAAAATATGGAATATGAAAATGTAAAAGACCAAGAACAACTTGTCTAAAGGACAAATAACAAACTTATAATAAAGATTCAATAAATAGAATAATACTGGTGAAAGAATAGGT